TAAAGCTAGAGGATGTAAGACTTCTTTCTATATCGGCTATATAACTTGATTTCTTATGACCAAACTCACGGGTATCGGCACTCAGAGACGTATATTCTCTCCCCCGTCTTGGCCTCCAGCTACGTGGAACTCGAAGCAGCGATGGGCGGCCACGACGACGACGACGTCAGGCCGTACGTGGTCAACAAACATCGCGACGAGGAGCTAAAGAAGAACAAGCTGAACGACTGGTGTGAGCACGAGTCGACGGGCAACAACGCCAAGTGGCACAAGGAGGGCCAGAACCAGCTGCGCAAAGTGAGCGAGAACCAGCAGGAGCAGGACCACAACTGCAACATCAGCCACAATGGCAACCCGGACGGGGAACGGGAGGAGTCCCCCAAAGCGGCCGCCCGGGAAGAAGCCAACAACATCCTCAATGAGCCGCTCCTCATCCATGCCTTGGACGAGGACGAGGAGAAGGAGAGGGAAGAAGAAGACAAGGGGGAGAAGTCAGAGGAAGGTCCTGCGGATGGAGAGGAGGCCCCCAATGGAGGAGGAGGAGGAAGAGAAGGAGGTGTCTCCGGCAGGAACGCGTGCCTCCTGTTCGCCAACGTCAATGGGACGCCGAGCGACGACGAGTCCAACTGGCCCGCCACCTCTCAGGACAACGCCGCCGATGCTTCTTCTCCCAACGGTAACAGAGGTAAGGCCATCCGAAGAGCCTGAGTGGCCCTACTTCGTTTTTGTCATCTTGCAGGAGAGTGATTTCAAATTTGAAGGCCGCAATAAAATCTGGCCCCTTTACATTTTGGTGCTTTTTACTAGGGCCTGACTGATCTGGATTGATTGTTGTATTTATTTATTTGAGCCTGATGGCAATTTTTGGCAGAGAAAAATGCAGATGTTTGATTAATTGGGGGATTCATTAAAAAAATCGAATGCAAACCTTTTTTCCCTCTCGCTGTGCATTTTCAGTGGGTCTCATCAATATGCGGGTTTTCGCTGTTCATGGGCCAGCCTCGTCAACTGTCGATAGATTGTGGAAAAATGATCAGCACCCATAGGAAAGCAACTTTTATTTTTATCCCCTGCCAAAAATCTCTCTTTATCTTTAAAACTCCTTTTTTGTCGTGTAGTGGAGAGTAAGATTCATTTTGAATGCTAAACTGCTTCTTATTCCTTGGCTATGTGGAAGCATGTGACAATCCAGTAGTATTCCAATCCACATTTGTCCCTCTCCAGACTCCTTCTGGGACTCGAGTGCTTTCGAGACGGACACGGACCTGCCGGCCGGCTGGATGAGGGTTCGCGATACGTCGGGCACCTACTACTGGCACATCCCCACCGGCACCACCCAGTGGGAGCCCCCCTCGCCGCTGGGGAAGGTCGGCGACTCGATGCTGTCCTCCACCATGTCCCTGGAGACCACGCCGTGCGAGGAGCCCGAGGTTAGATGCCCTACAAAATCCAAAGCTATGATTTGTTTTCCTTTTTTTCCTCATTTAAATGGCAAATGTCCATTCTCAGGACACCTGGGCTCAGTTTTCCAGCACAGATGAAGGCGGCGCCGACGGAGAGCTGTGGAAGGTAACCCAAACAGTCTTGTAAATGCGGGTGGGGCAGAGAAAGGAGGGTCCCCCCGCCTCACTTTTAAGCCGTTGTTTCGGCGTCCTCAGGAGGAAGCGGAGGCTGCGTCTGATCAAAGTCTGCGAGAGTTTGAGGGGGCAACTCTCCGCTACGCTTCCATCAACCTCAAGTATTTGCTCTTGCTGTCATGTAAACAGGTTTTTGGATCATTTGGAAAAAGTGCAACATTCTCATTTGTCCCTCACTCTGTAGCTACAACTGCCCCCAGTCTGAGGATGACGAGAAGCTGGTCCCACTCTGCACTGATTTAGAGAGCAAGGTACCCAAGTGAAAACATACACATTTCACCCGACAGGCCGATGGATTCCTCGTTTTTTTGAGGAAACGATACGCTTGGTTGACTGTCTGCCTTGTGTTGGCGGCGCTCGGCAGTGCTTCGCAGTGCGTTCGCTGGGCTGGGTGGAGATGTCGGAGGAAGACATGGCGCCGGGCAAGAGCAGCGTGGCCGTCAACAACTGCATTCGCCAGCTGTCCTACCACAAGCACAACCTGCATGACACCGCCGGCATCTGGGGAGAGGTGACCGTCTTTTTCTCACGACGCTGGGCACTCAATGCATTTGATCAATTCTATTATTTATTGATTTTTTTTTCCTCTTTGCGCCACTCCCTTAGGTCTAAATGCGTCCTTGCTGACATGCCCCGATTACACTAACAACATAGCTGCGAAGACACACACACACACTCAGTCAAAGCTTATTTGGCTTCGAGACAAATGAGGCACATCCCCGAAGACCCCCAAAACACAAAGCAGAACGTTTTATTTTCTGGCCAGATGGGCCAGCCTTGCGCTCCCGTCAATGTCGAAAGTTGTGTAGGAGGAAAATTCAATCAGTCAAAGCTTATTTGGCTTCGGGACAAATGAGGCACATCCCCGAAGACCCCCAAAATACAAAGCAGAATGTTTTATTTTCTGTCCAGATGGGCCAGCCTTGCGCTCCCGTCAATGTCGATGGCAAAAGTGCCACCTTCCAATCTGTGTGTGTTTTTGCGCAGGGTAAGGACATGCTGATGGTGCTGGAGAGCGACACCATGAACCTGATCGATCCGCTGGGACAGACGCTGCTTCACACGCAGCCCATCGGCAGCATTCGCGTGTGGGGCGTCGGCAGAGACAACGGCAGGTCCGTTTTCACCCCGACTCGTGATCAGACAGCCCGAAGTACAATTCGGCTACAGGGAATGTTTCCCGATGGTTTGCTTTTCAACGAGTGGCGAGTGAGCTCTGAGTTGTCTTGTTTGTACATTGAGGGCCTCTCCTGGACACTTTAAGCCATTACATGTGCATCGACCAAGTAGCGGTGGCTTCGCATTGTTCTAACGCTTGTATTTTTCTTCCATGCTGCTTTTTGCTCACACGAACAGGGAAAGGTATTCCTGAAGTTTTTTTTTTGTCTTGAATATGTTGCCACAATTTTGACCAATAATAGTATGGTAATATGACCGGTTCATATTTCTGTGCTTTGTCCCACAGGGATTTTGCCTACGTGGCCCGGGATAATCTGACGCAGGTCCTGAAGTGTCACGTATTTCGCTGCGACTCGCCCGCCAAAAACATTGCCACCACTTTGCATGAGATGTGCTCCAAGGTGGGACTCCTATCACGATGCTCGATGCAACACACCATAACTCATTCGGCGCCGTCCGTTTTTCTCAAATCGGGAGCCATCTTTTGACTGTTTGGACTCATTTATGAAGGCCTGTAGAAAATTGGGATCTCCAGCTAGAGAAACATGGAACCTAGCAAAGGGAAGCTTGAACGCTCTTCTTTCATCAGGAGCAAAAAAAGTACATTTCTACCTTTTACCATTCTTGAGTCAACAGCAGTCGATTCTTGGCAAGTGTCTTGAAAACACTTGTTTGCAAGAAAAAAAATTCCGAGCAAAAAGAGCTTTTTGTGAAAGGATATATTTCACTTGTGAAAGGATATATTTCACTTTGATGCCATTTTGTTGATATTTAATATCCAAACAGTGCTTCCCTACTAAACAACAACACAAAAATGGCACTTGGATTGATTGCGCTCACTCGCAAGATTTGATCAAAACCATTCCTGCCATCTAGTGGTGATTTATCATCTTGAAATCATGCCCACAGCCCCCAGACCGACTGAGGCGGTGCGCAAAGCCCTTGATGAATATTTTGTAATCAAAAAAAATACTTGTTTGCAAGAAAAAAAATTCCAAAGCCCTTGATGAATATTTTGTAATCAAAAAAAAGGGTGGAAAAAACCCAAAACGTATTTACGTGTTTTAGCACTTATTAATTGGGTTTTTGAACCCGTATTTTTACGTTTTGGTATTCAATCATTTGAACAAGCTGTAGTTTGGGTGGGAAAAAAAACGTCTTTTTTTTGTTTTTGTTTTTTTTTTTGGTAATAGATAATGATGGAAAGAAAGGCATCCAAGCCAGGTGTGAGTCGTCTCAGCTCGGACACGGGCAAACCCCTGTCTGTCGAAGGTAAAGGCGAGCACGTTTTTCTACAAGTTGAATCGGTGGACTCGATCACCTCATCCCTTCCTATTGCTCACCAGAGTTTCCAGCTCCCAAAAATGAACTTTTCCAGCGCTTCCAAGTCTATTACCTCGGCAGTGAGCCTGTCCTCAAGCCAGTGGGTAAGAAAACACTCACTGCCTCTTCCTTTCCGGGGCAGCGCATGTCATCTACGCTCGTGACGTGACAAAACGTTTGGCAGGTATGGACGTGATCAATGAGGCTCTGGAGGCGGCCGTGGTGGGCAAAGACAAAAGCGGCTGGACCCCGGTGTCTGTCAACGTGGCGCCCGCGACCCTCACCATACTCGCAAAACAGGTGCGAGGCTCTTGGCCTACATCTCCTCAGAGTCAAATGTCCGAGTATTTATCTTGATTTTCTTGTCATTGGACTTAAAATCCAGTTCCCAATTAACAATGCGTCTCCCGTCATCACAAGGAACACACTTTTAAGTATCGATGGTGTCAAGGAAAAAATGATTGATGAAGCTCAGCCCTCCAATCTGCATATTCTTGAATAATGACTCACAGGTATCATATCATATGTCTTGCTGATTTCAGACAGAAGAAGTTCTGTCGGAGTGCCGGGTGCGCTTCCTTTCGTTCATGGGCGTGGGCAAGGACGTCCGCACCTTCGCCTTCATCATGGCCGACGGCCCGCGAGACTTCACCTGCCACAAGTTCTGGTGCGAGCCCAACGCCGCCAGCCTCAGCGAGGCCGTCCAGGCCGCCTGCATGGTCAGTTTTCATGCATTTGTGTCTCTCTGGACCGACTGCATTCCAACTACCTGTGTCTGCCCGAGGGTCAAAGTAGTCCTTTTCATTCTACTTTTTGCCAACTGTGTCAGCCTGAAATCTGAATAGAATACCCGAGTTATAGATTTAAACTGTAAAAAGGTCACGTTTACATTTTTGTCTCCTTTTGTCAGCTTAAAGTGAAACTCATTTATGGTCCTGGCGGACAGAATGTCCCGTAGGAGACCGTTGTAACTGGTGTGATGGAAAAAAAACCAAAACACAAACAAAAAAAAACACAAAAAGTTTATTGACTGATTTATGTATATGTATTTTTCTTAATAGCTACGCTACCAGAAGTGTCTGGACGCACGTCCGCCCGGCCTGGCGTCCTGCTTGCCCACCCCGCCCGCCGACTCTGTGGCCCGCCGCGTCAAGAAGGGCGTGCAGAGTCTCCTGGGCAGCTTCAAGAGCTACAGGTCGGGCTCCCAGTCGCCTTGACGGGCCGCAACACCAGGAAGGTCCATGCAAAACGTCTCCGTGTCACACTACCCCATCCACCTCACACTTGACACCTCATACACTCGTTCTGTCGTCTTGTGGAGTAGCTCGGGGGGGGGGGGGGGATTTGATCTGTCCCCCTCTCTCTCTCTCTTTTTTTTTTGTTGAAACTTTCCTCCCCTAATAGGTGGAATTCCGGCCTTACTGGGGTTCTTTCATGTCACTCTGAACTATTTTTGTGTTTTAACAGAAACAACACTTGGAATGTTGGGACGTAATGTACGTCACATGCTAAAAGATGCTCGAATGAGCGCTATACTGTAGATTGTCTCTCACACACACACATGCACACACATCAGTCTTCCAAAGAGATTGTCATCATTCATTCATTGATTTGCATGCAAGTTGAGTGGCTCACGTGCAATAACGACCTTATCAAAAATGTCACCCAGAGAGCAAGGGAACAACACGGCCACGTTGTGAATACACGCACACCCCTGCTCAGTCGTTCTGTCCGAAGCATGTGTAAGTGTGGGAACCCTTCAGTGTTTCCTCCGTGTTCTCTCTGTGCGTCACTCTAGTTGCTGTGTGTGTGTGTGTGTGTGTGTGTGTGTGTGTGCGCGTGCGCGCGCGTGTGTGTGATCATAAACTAGCCGTTGAAAGCCACCACAGAGCAGGTTTGTTCGTTTGTATGGAAGGCAATTACCCTAACTTCCACACATTCAAATATGATTTTTTTCTTTCTTTTTTTTTTTTTTTTTGTTTGGAAGGAACAATTGAATGATCTCATCGTTGATGTGTAGATCCCTAGTAATAGTCAAGGCTAATGGTTAAAAAAAGAAAAAAAGTATGTATCCTGTATATATTTCTATATTAGCGACACTAACTCACCCACGTTCATCACGTAACCGCCGCCTTTGCCGTTCACCTTTTGCCCATCATGCCCATGTCCGGCTAGCGGGATTCTAATTTATTATTTCTACACATGTACATTTTAGGTGTTCCCCAAAATGGATGTGTATATATAAGAAATCAGCGCACAATAAATGTCAACATATCATTGCTGTGTTGTGATTGTTGTTTGGGTAGGGGCGGTTATTATTTGCAGTGCACACTGGAACCACCAGGTGGAGCCCTACACTTTGTTGTGCTTTCATCAATCAGCTATCCATCGAGCCATCTTATCTATGCCATATATACGACGATCTAAACTAACTAGCACCTATCTCTCTTTCCGTCTGATATACACAACACATATGCATGAGACAAGCTAAGCTGGCTAGCATCTATCTTGCTATCTCTCCATCTTTCTATGTGAGGTCTCTAATCTATCTGAGGAGGAAGTCAGAAGCCTGCTTCCTGGTTTGAACGAGGCTTACGGTTTCAAGTACGGGTTGAAAGCCCGAGTGAGACATTCAGTGAAGAGTTTCAAGTTGGGCTTCAAACAACGGATCAGGTTTGGAGCCTCGGTCTCCAGTCAGTGTTCGGGTTAGTGACTCAAAAGTTCGGCGGGTTAGTTTGTTATGGTGTCAAATTGGCTTTCGAGCAAAATTCTAATTAGAGCAGCTCGCGAAAGCGAAACGGCTTGGACGCCGTCATTTTTTGCACCCAGTCCTCTTTTGTGCAATGGGCGGTAGTTGAAAGTGGTTCTGTTAGGAAGAGAACGTCTCTCTGGAGGATTTCCACATGTACCTGCAAATGTCACTTGTGCTTTCTGTGTCACTGAGCGCCCCCCCTTCCCAGCATGTTTGCACTCTCATGTAAAAGAGGTTTCCTGTCCTGGACCCAAACGCAGGGCAACAAAAAGCAAAGCGCACACACACGCTTGCCCACCTTTCATTTGACTTTTCCTTCCTGCTTCCTTTTTCCTTTTCATGTTCCCTTTTCTTTTTTTCCTTTTCACCTTTTCTTTCCCATTTCCTTTTTTCCGTTCCCCTTTTCTTTCTTCTTCCTTTCTTTTCACCTTTTGTTTCCTTTCCACCTTCCCTTTTCAAAATCCCTTTTCACTTTCCTCAATCCTCTCTCCTTTTCACTTCTCCTTTTCTAATGCCCGTCCTTTCTCTTTTCCATTTATTTTTCCTTTTCTCTTTCCTCGCCTGCACCCTTTCCTCCGCATCCCCCCCACCCGTTCCCGTGACGATCGCCTCTTCCCAGGGAAAGAGCATCCCTTTGTTTCCCCTGGAAAAAAAAAAGCTTTGCAGATGAAAGCCAGTGGGAAGCTAATAACGTCGCTTCGCAGGCAGAATTAGCCCAGGTTTGAAGCCTCCCGATCCACTCAGGACGGGACTTTTTTTTTTTTTTGTAGGAAGAAACCTGATCGGTATTCCAACTGCGCGCCCCCGCCGTCTGCTCCGCACAACCTCCCCTGAAGCAGCGTGTGGCTCGTTGGCCAAGGCGCTGGGGTTTCGTCCCACTTTGCACAAACATGTGTGGGAGTTGATTGAAGACTCTGAATTGTCCTTTTGGTGCGAATGGCCGCCTTGGTCTTTGTGCCCTAACACTGGCTGGCCACCAGCTGGGGGCGGAACCCGCCTCCAACAAAAACAATAGATCGCTAAATAAATGAAGCAAAAATATGAACGAACAAGGTTCTTTTGAGTCCTTATTGTTCCGCTTGAGATTCTGTGCGGATGTCACTCACAATTTTGTGCGTGGCTGTGTGCGTCGGGGGGGTGGACTAATCGCAAGTGTATAATTGTCGCCTGATTATGCGGCTGGCATTTGTCTTAATGGAGATTTATTTGCGGTAATGAATGTGTAGTCTTGTGGAACATTGCTTTTCCTCCCAGCTCCCTCTTCGTCCTCCATCTCATCAACCAATCACGGAGCAGGATGAAGGAGGCTCCCGACGGGCGTCCCACTGGGCTCCGTCCTCTTCTCACTCGCGTTCATACATGCCCCAAATTATAGGAAATGATGTAAGTGCGATAATATTGCTGCACAAGTTTGCACCTCCTCTTTCTTGGGTTCAGAATGAACTTATCTCATGACATGGAGGCCATCTCAACCTGCCTCTGTTTACAGTGCCGCCCCCCATTTTTTTTTTCAAAGAACAATATGGAAGCCATCCGCCTCCTCCTCCTCACAGCAGCATCCCTCCATTTGTTCGGCAGCCTTTTTTGCAATAAGCTTGATGGAAAAGCAGCAAGCTGTCAGTCATCGCACCAATCGAAAAAAGCGTCTGATTCACTTTTTTATGACCCCCCCCCCCTCACCCCCCCTTCTCTGCCCAATGCCTCCTCCATCATCGTCCGTGGCCATCTTCCATGTTACGTGTTGACGAGTGACGGGGGGTCAAGATGAGAAAATGGAGGTCAGAAGACAAGCAAAACTCGCCTTACTACGAGCCGCTCCGAGCCCACCAGAGGCCCTGGCTCCCTTTCGCACCCGCTTCACTTTTGGATGCAGCCCTAAAATGGCGGTAAATAATCATATTTTGCAAAAAGAAAACTGTACATGAAGCCGGAGGAGATCCACACACACCTACTGCAGCTTCTGTTTGCTGAGGAAAATTGACCGAGTGTAACGAACGTAAGGGGCAGTCGGACCACGTAGTTCCTCCCTGTCAATCAACCATAGCTGTTTTTCTTTGAGATACGTGGCTAATCGTGTGCGGCAAATCGTCTCAAATGTTTTACAGATCTCCAACTATAACTTAAATCCACTTTCAAACGATGACGATAATTTAAAGAACAGAAAAGATGAACTTCTTTGGAGGGTGCACCGAAGGTAAAAAGCAAATACAATTAATGTGCACCAACTTGTACGTCCTACGAAATCCCCCGATGAGTGCTTTCCAGATCTGGACATGATGTAATGGTAGGTTGAAGATATATTTTCAACCTACCATGACATAATGTCGTCGTACAACGAAAAGTCTGCAAAAGGGTGCGCCAAAAGTCCAAAAATAAAGGTGCACCAAAGCACATCAACTCAGACCTCATGTTAAATGCCTTGATTCGGGTTTTCTGTATCTGGAACTACAGTTTCAATCGACCCTTAAATAGAAAAAAAAAAAGACTACTTTTTGGGGGGTGCGCCAAAGTTTAAAAACAGAACAAAACACTACACTTACATAAACAGGCACATTGACTCACACCTTATATTAAGTCTCTTGATGTATACTTCCCATACCTAAATCTATTTCTGATATTCCCTCACATGATAACATGAAATTAAAAAAAACGTTTTTAGCTGTGCATCCATGGTCAAACATCCTTGTGCAACAAACTTCATCGAGTCACATCTCACATTAAAGCTCATGATCAGTGCTCGTCCAATACGTCAACAAGACATCATCGCACGGTCGTGTCATCATCCCAAAACATGTTTTTGATGAATAATGTCAAAAATGTCGAGTGGCGGCCTGCGCTCGACCGAGAGCGCTTGTTGTCGAAAAGCAGCATCCGGCGAGCTAAAAAGGCCGGCCGGAGCAGAGGCAGTGGAGAGCGGGCGCCCTGATGATTATTCTCTCTCCTCTCCACTGATCGCATCCCATCACAGGGACCTCCTCATTCATATTCATCGGGAGAGACACCCTACATAAACAGGCACATTGACTCACACCTTATATTGAGTCTCTTGATGTATACTTCCCATACCAAAATCTATTTCTAATATTCCCTCACATGATAACATGAAATTTAAAAAACGTTTTTAGCTGTGCATCCATGGTCAAACATCCTTGTGCAACAAACTTCATCGAGTCACATCTCACATTAAAGCTCATGATCAGTGCTCGTCCAATACGTCAACAAGACATCATCGCACGGTCGTGTCATCATCCCAAAACATGTTTTTGATGAATAATGTCAAAAATGTCGAGTGGCGGCCTGCGCTCGACCGAGAGCGCTTGTTGTCGAAAAGCAGCATCCGGCGAGCTAAAAAGGCCGGCCGGAGCAGAGGCAGTGGAGAGCGGGCGCCCTGATGATTATTCTCTCTCTCTTCTCTCCACTGATCGCATCCCATCACAGGGACCTCCTCATTCATATTCATCGGGAGAGACACCCACTTTGTTCTCGCCACCTGTGGGAACATCTGAGCACAGAACAATAGAAATAGCCGGGCATTGTTTTTTTGATGCCGGCAACGTGCAGAGTCCTCGGGGGAGGGAGGTAACCTGGAGGGGAGCCCAAGGTGGAAAGCATATGCACCCCCTTATTTTTTCAATGATGGTGCGTTTTACTCGAAACATGTTTCGTATTTTGTTTTTTTTTTTTTTGTATTTCGCAAGCAAACAAGGCTTTGTTGACAATATAATTACAGAACTGAAAAGTACTTTTCAAATTCTTTTAACATGAGCTATGTGTCTATGTACTTTAGAACACTGCGCCTTTTTTTTTTAACTCAAGCAAGCTCCAAAAAAAAAGGAGGATTCATTTTTATTTACGTTCGAAAACATAATCATGTAAGAGAACAGTGAAAAAAAATATATCTATATAAGTCTATGTTTCCAAACATCAGCTCGAGTGCCAATTGAGGCGTGTCCTCATCTCATTTGAATGTTCCGCCTTTGATTCTTCATGAATATGCAACAGCGGTTCAGAGGCGTCTTCACATTTGTCGCCTGTAGCACCGGCCAAAGCGTTTGTGGAATTATTGACAGTCAAATTCATCCCAACATAAATTGGTCGACGGCCAGGAAGCAGAGGAGCCATTTTGGACCCTCATCAAAGCGTATATTTTACATGGGGGGGAAAAAAAAAAAATCAAAGCAACTCTTGACGTAAAACGCGGTAACAATCATTTTCAAACTGAAATTGTCGTCTCAGACACCAAAAATAAAATGACGACTCCAACAAAATGAGAGCAAGGTGTCGACCTGAGAAAGAAGGATTTAGTTTTTGAACATTTCTCGAAAGATTTGTGGAGGCCAAAGAGAGCGTGCGGTCGATTCACGCGGGCGCATTATTGTCCAATTAGATGCAGACGCAACAGCCCTCATTAAAGACGCGTGCACCCCCCCCCGTCCCCTTCCCTGGGTCCCCTCACCAAAACCCATCTTGGCAGGAAAGGTCACACGAACAAGACAATGTCACTTTTCCCCCCCTTTTTTGCCCCTCCATTTTAATGAGCGGCGCGCCGATGAATAATTTCGACAGGAAATGAGCAGCAAGGGTCCCGTGGGACTTGCGTCTTCTCTCACCGTCCGCGCAAATCCTTTGCCATTCAGCAATCTCCCTGAACTGGATAAGATGATGCGGACGTATTGCTTTCCGATGTTTGTTGACTGAGTCATTTGTTTGGTTGAACCCATTTATTTCAAAACAAGAGAAATACAGGAACTCCTGCGGAAAAAAAAAAATACACCATCATCTTTCTCTAAAATTATTGTTCGTTGTTTTGAGGGGCGAATTGTATGTAACAAAAGTACTCGTGGTATCAATACTTGGTATCTGTATTGGTGAATACTCCAGAAAGGAGGACTCGTACTGATATCGGTCTGAAAAAAAAATCCCTACGAACAGCATAGCATCTAGCTAGCATTGGTAGCCTGCGGTAGAGCAGCGCAGAGGCTTTTAGCGCGCGGTCGATGTGAAGCCGCGGATCCGTGACGGCCGTTTGGCGCGACGACGCACCACAAAGGCAACAACGCATGGACTTCCTCGGCACTCTCTCTCGTCCGCCTCATTTGCAGCGACGATGGAGTGTGTCCACCGTATTGTCTGCGTCGACAGCCGGAAAAGGTCAGAGGTGTGGGGCGGACAAAGCGTTTGTCATCTGGAAAGGGGATGTGTGCCCCTCAACCCGTTGCTTCTGATTGACACACTGTTATGCTTTTGTTTGCGTTACATTTGGTTTTGTGCTCTTTTTGTCTTCACCTGTCCTCGTCATCTGGGTCCCTCGTTGCAACCGGTCAGCTCCCTTTAGTGTTTGAACCAGTCAGGTGTCTGTACAAGCGTTTCATTTTTTTTTTTTCTAGTTTGAACTTGAATTTTTAGCACTTAATCTAGCGCCTCAATTAGCTTTTTATCGCATTTTATGAAGTCATTTATCCAGGGTCTGCATAGATAGATGTTTTAGCTCGCCTTCCATGTAGCTGAAGGCACCTAGCACTTGAGCAAGTGTTTTAACTACACGTGCACACACACACGAATATTGATGAATTTGTGGTGTAGTGGCAGGTATCGAGCGGCATGATCCATAAACACTGGTCAGTTATGATTGTCCTCATATGCCGTTGATCAGCTGGAGTCATTAGTCCAATTACATTGGTTCTCGCAGGGACAGTAACCCAATTTCTTCCGTTGCACGAGACCGCCTCCAAGGAATTTTATTGATCTCCAAGTACTTACTAATAGTACTCTATCTATCCATCCATCCATCGCACGCGTATATTGTTCTAAGATACCTGCTCTCTAAATGTGTCAGTTTGAAAAAGCATAAACTGCAGTATGTGGATTGAGTACCAGAGGAGATGAATGAAAAATCGACAAGACTTTTCAGAATTCCGAGTGAAAAGAAGCATGCACGCCCGCACGGCAAATGTCACAGAAATGTGTGACTTTAATTACAACAGTGCTGCTTTTAGTGCAGCAGTGTTAATGAAATCGCACGCATGAGCAAACAAAGGAAAAAAAATAAATAAAAAAGGAGCAAAACGCACGAGATTCGGGGCAACAAAATGCGCCCAAACCTGCAAGAGATCAAAGGCGCGGCGCACCTTTGTCATCTGCCGGCTGCTCACATTTGCATACGTGCAGCACCTTGAAATCCATGCGTCGGAAATCACTTTTCCGTCCATCCATCCTTCCATTATCTGATCCGCTTTCTCCTCGCGAGGGAAGAGCCCAGCTGGGCACTGGAATTGAGAATTATCATTCGCCGTAACCGCCCGTATGCATTGTCACTGTCAAATCAAGAAAATCAAGATTATGATGATCAAGTCGTTTCTTTGTTTTGCTTTGCCGAACGGGTAACTTCTTGTGTTATAGCGTAATGTTGAACTTTTTTTTTCCAGTGTGGCAGCAAAGTGGTCCATTTTTTTCCTGTTCTACCGTTGGAAGTCTTGACCCAAGTACGTTACATTTGTTTAGTGTGCCCCCCACTGGCCAGATATGGCTACCGCACTCAGAGGTGTCAACTGACTTCAAAGGTCAAGGGTTAAAAGTAAGATGGCTGCCTCAAGTCACGTGTGTGTGTGTGGACTCAGCAGAGACAGCATGGAAGCAGGCCTCTTGGCTCGATGAGGTTCTTCTTTGGACCTTTTGGATTATTTTCAGAAAAGCGCTTTTCATTATTTTCTGGGAAGCGACCGAGGATCGGATAATCAGAAGACTTCCCGGAAAAGTTTTTTTTTTTTCCCCAAGAAAGTCTGCCTCGGCCGCATCTCTGGTGAGTACACAGCGTTTTTGGGAACATTTTGTTCAAGTTCAAACGCCGCCAAATGTTTCAGCGGCTTTCGAACAAGCTGAAATGAGACCAGAGGGTTAAAACTACAAGTTGTGTTTGGAACTCGAAGAGGATAAATTGGAGGATTTCATTTCCGGCAGCATGTGTTTGTTCTTGGCTGGAGTCGATAAACATTCCAAAAGGGATGTGATATTTATGAAGCCATTTTTTTTTTCCAATAGGCCTCAATGCACGTGACCTTTTCCGCGGCGTCGTACACAAATGCCCCGGCGGCCTCTCGCGGTGTGTGAAAGGTTAAGTGGGACGCGTGCGTGCAAAACAAGACCGTTCGTCCATATTGGTCATGACACAGCTCAGGAAGTTGTTGTTGGAAAAAAAATCCCAAAACAAAAACGGCGAAAGTCAGCCATTTGGCTTCACAGCAGCACCACGTTGGCCGTTTCAAGGTGCACGTTGCAGACGACGTTGTCCTTTGGAGAGTTTGACGGTTTGATACCAAATTTGAAGCATGTGTATACAACGGCTAATGCTGAAATGTCGTCATCCTAGTTTGTGGGTGGCAAAATTTGATGCCAAAGTAGTCATGGTGTAGAGAGGGCACCTTTTTTGGAAAATGTCATATCCTAGCATGAAATTTGATCGATGTTTATCATGAGTAGACTGTCTCTATACCCACAAAAAAAAGTCTCAAGAAGCCAAAGTTTCCATCGCGGCGTGTGCTCGGAAAACGGTGGCTGTGTGATGACTCGATGTAAAACACCAAACTGGTCATCAGGAAGCTCTGAATTTTGGTTTGGAAAATGTTAGTCAATTTCACAAAATGTGGTCGACATGCCAATCGTGAGTAGACCCTCCAAAAAAGTCTCAAGAAGCCATGCCTGAAAAAGAAAAACACAGCAGGTCAGCTATTTGGGTTGAAAGCAGCCATTTTATTGTGATTTTGAAAAAAAAAATTGTTCTTCCCAGTGGTCTTCGGGGAAGGAGCTTTTCTCCAATTTCATTGAGCAACATGAAACTTGCCGGGCATGTCTGTCATGTGTTGACCCACCCAAAAAGTGTCAAGAAGTCTGCCGTTTGGGTTTGATGCGACTGGCAAATTTGCCCTGGAGAGTCCGACTTTGTTTGCAACATGTGAACCGGGCAGATGGGGCACTCAAACTAACAGTAGACATGATGTTGCCGTAGTTGTTGATGTTGTTGTGGCAATTGCTGTCGGACCACTCATCTGAGACTTCAAGCACGCGTCCTCATTCAAACACACAAGCCAATTTCAATTCCGCTACTTTCTGCCAAATGTGTTGATGAAATACTCGGCGGAGACGATACACATCTGTTTCGGACCGCCCCCTCCACTTTACCTGCTCTAATTGTCCCCCCCGCCCCACTCACTTTGTCATCTGCGTGCAATTACCAGTCAAAGCAGCGGGTGAAAGCAAGCGCTGTCGATGGAAACATCCTGGCATCGTGTTAATTCTGTCACGGGCTCTCATAATTGTCCGTTTTTGAAAGGCAAGATGTAATCAGCGGGAGGGGAGTCATCGGACAGGCAGCTGTGCATCAGCACGAGTGCGCATGCACGCACGCGTGCGCGCGGACTCAAAACACGCTTCAGTCAAAATAGGTTCACGGCAACGTCTCTTCAGAGTTTGCGCACTTGTGGCTCATTGAGTGGAGGTGGGGGGAGGGTGGGGTCGCCATTGTCAATGTTCTGCGAAGGGCACGCAAAGAGCAAAAATATATGTGAGCGTATTTTAGAATTGAACCCTCCATATCTGGCAAACTACGATCACAAAACATTTTGATATCATTTCTTACAACATTGCTCTTAAATGTAGCCACCTACTGTCATGATCTAACTATTTACCGACATCCGAACCTCGTATCGACTTGCTAACCCATTATCGACTAGCTAGCTAGCTAGTTAGCTAGATATACGGTACTTATCCTCTAACCCATCCGCTCCCTAATACTTAGCTCATAGCTACGGGGCTCGCTACATACACATACCTTCCTAATACTTACCAAGCGAGCTAACTAGTTGCGTCCCGTACCCGCTTAGTAGCCAACAAGCCACAAGATTAGACAGCTTTGATGGCGGCATTTCCCGTAGGAATGTCTCGCCAACTTGCTTTGTCAAATGGTACAGCGCGTGTTTGCGCAACTCGGCGAGAGTTTCGTGTGTGTGTTGCACAACTTGGCTCATCTTTTCTTTCGAGGTAGTCTAACTTGTCAAGTCTCGTAGTCCTTCATATAGTTTTGGTTCAACGGAAGTGTCAGCAAATTGCTCTTGTTGGTGACTGTTCGTCGGCATATCTTGCAATGTTGATTTTTATTTGATTTTTTTTCCCTGACCGTCAGTATCACCCACTTTGCTAGCTCTATCGCAATCTACTTTCCGTTCCATACCAACCTGCCCACCCGCCGACATAACAAACGGTGTACTTCTGAATCTAGCGAGTGACCAACCTCTCCTTGGCATTCGTGAGACTTTCTGGAGATGAGCCCTCACGCCGAACTCTGAATTTTCTCATCTGTTGGACTTTTATTGAGATTTCTGACGTGCGCCGCGGCCATCAGTCAGCGTCGAATCCCGCGCTCGCCGCGTGACACGCGAGCCAGGGATGATTTGTTTGACGCTGTCCCTCATCGGAAAAATGATCGACTGGCTCTGTCAGTCAGTCCCTCGCTCAAAGGGGGGCTGATTTTTGCATTCGGAGCAAGTGGCACTGAGCCCCAGCAGATGCAGCCGGGGAAAAAGGCCAAACGATTGCACGACTACCACAATTAAGTGTGTTGATTTATTGATTTATTTGTTTCTTCCAAGGAAAATGGAGATTTCCAGACAGAAGTCCCAGCAGAATGACGAATTGTGGCGTATTTCTATTTAAAAAAAAAAAAAAAAAGGATTCTGGCGATGAGCAAAATGTTATGATGAATTGTTCTTCTTCTTCATCCAAAATAAAATATGAATGAGAATAAATTTCGGAAAAATCCCGAGAGAATTATATTGGAAAAAAAATCAAACCCTTCTCCTTCTGATCAAACGGAACCGCTGCCGCCGCGGCTGACATTGACTTCATTGCTGTGCATCTGCCATTGCTTGCTAGCTGTGCCTTATTTTTGCTCATTTATGCACCAAATAATGACAACGAGAGAGAGAGCGTGTGTGTGTGTGTGTGTGCGCGTGTGCATGAGTGTGTGTGTGTGTGTGTTGTTGCTCTTTGATTGAAGGAGCACGTCCTTGGGCGCCGTCCAAGGACCACGCTTCCGTATTACGCCCATCCGGTGCGGACGAGTCGGTGGCCATCCGATTAGTCGTAATGAAGACGCGGCGATGCTTTCGAGGTCCGTGGACAAAAACGAAGGCGGCCGTGTCGCTACAAGCCAAGCGGGCGCTCGGCGGAGGCAGTCGGAGCGCGTGGATATGAATATGGACGCGGGTGAACCGGAGTGGCGCTCTGTAATTGCGATGGGACGGAAAAGACGCCTCGAGTGCTTTGTCTTTGCATATTCATCCACCCAGCTGAAGATCATCTGCTTTTTCTTTTGTTTTTCTACCGCATAGAATTATTCAGCAAGCAATGAATTGAAGTGGAAGTCTTTGATTTGGATTCCGAAGCAGTTTCAATTCAAGTGCAGCGCAGTGGAAGCCCGCAACTTTGTAGTGTGACCACGAACGTCTTTAAAAAAACAAAAACAAAAAAAAAAAACTGGACGTGTGACGTGCTGCCTGAGAAGTGAAGTCACCGGCGGCCCTCTTGCGTTGCCACCCGCCAAGTGCGACCAACTTGATCGACCCTTTTGATATTTATTCCAAATCCTCCATCAAGAAAAAGAGCAAAAAGAAAACTCCTTCAAACGAGCATCGGCTCTTGACGCGCCAGACTGTCAGCTTGCTTGGCGAGTGTGAAAGGGGCCGAATGCTGGCACGCGCAGTCCACTTGCATTCAAATCATCCGCTTTGCGCTAATGATGGCGCTCTTGGCCTCGTCCCCACAAGGAATGTTTGTTTTCCACCTCCCCGCATCATCATCTTCATTGTCTTGTATTGAGTCGGACGGCTGCGGCGCAAAAGAGCTCAAAAGTATGCCAAGGTGGGTCTTTTCCGCCCGCCCGTCAGGCCGCCTCATCCGCTTTAGCGGCCATTAGTTGGCCTCCCGCTTCTCTCGACTTTCGATGCGTCCGTGACAAATGGAGAGTTGAATGTGAGTGCGGCACGAAGCGCAAATCCCGACTTCAAAGGGCCTGTGGCGCACTGACAAAACCAGCGGTTGCCCACGGCGTTCTGAGGAGTTTGTGCGGCGTGAAAGGCGGCATAGCCTGCGAGTTCCAAATGGCGAGCGACGCAGGTTGCGGGGCTTGACTTGTGTGACCGGAGTCATCAATTTTCGGACATTTAGCCCCGCTTTCAATTGCTCGACCTTGGTCGAATGACACGCAAGGGTCGTTTTACTCCACTGGGGGGGGTTCGGCTTTGGTGGAATTGTAAATAGCGCATTTTCAATTGCTCGACCTTGTTCAAATGACACGCAAGGGTCGTTTGGCTCCACTGGGGGGGTTCGGCTTTGGTGGAATTGTAAATAGCGCTGCTGGGATGATCTCATTTTCACCCCACGGAATGAATCAAGTGTCCGTGCGTCCATCCCGCGGCTTGGTCCTCACGTTTTCGCATCATATCTGAATGGATTGGATGCTTGTTGGCTTTTACTGCCGCCTAGTGGCCCGGATGTCAGTCGCTACTTCTTTTTTTTCATGTAGAACAATCCTGCCACATGTTCTATTCTCTTGTATTGAGAATACACATTGGAAGTTGGCGTGACGGTCACCGCAACGGTCGAGGGGGCGAACCCTCTTGAAATGTTTGTTGCCAGCAAGCGCCGCCTCATCGGAGGGCATTCGGTAAAGAGGCGGACAGGCGGAATGAGACGCGTGCACATGAAAGGCCGAGCGGCGGCGGGGTCGCCGACAGATGAATCCACGTGTGGAACAAAGGCTGTTTGAACTGACGGATGGAGAGATGAATGCGCCGCTCGCCGCCACCGAGACGTGAATGATAAATGGGCACCAGCCGCGGGCCGCGCCGACGCAAAGAACACCTGAACGTCGTCGCGCCTTTTCAAAGAAAAGAAATTCATTTTTGTCCAGAACTACGCATGGCGCCAGTCAAATTTTGATCCGAGGGCCAGCAAATTGGTATGCCGCCAGCGACCTCCCCTTTTCTTTGAGGTGCCCCAAGGATTTTTTTTTTTTTGTCTTTTTAAGCATGATTGACAAAGGGCTGATTGCAAAACTTGACTTGTGCCGTCCAAATGATTTTAATTGATCGTCTTTGACGAGTTACCGTTTTTTTGGGGGTTCAAATGTAACTGCCCCCCTTTGAGCAAATCGGGGAAAAATGGGCCCCACCCCTTCCTCGGAATTTTCCTGTTTGTATATGTGGATGGAATGTTTGCATGCAGTTAAATGTTAGCACCCTCTGTCGGTGAAGCTCTGAAACGACCGCCGGTTGACCACAGACCAGTTGCGTGGGTGGACACGCGGGAGGAAGCTGGATGGCAAGAGCCGCTGTCCACAATGTCGTCTCACATCTGAGAGACGCGAATAAATCGAAACGTGTCGAAGGAGCCTCTCACTTGACTCGGACAGGCTTTCGGTTCATTCCAGAGTCCTTTGCTAGAGGTGCTGATGGCGTAGCTGCGGTTTTTAAATTGGAAAAAAAATGCGGCGATGGGGAGCGCGATGACGTTCAACTTGTCGTCTTATTAAGTTGCTTCGGCGCGCATCTTAACTCGTTCCAAAAAGTTAGCGCGAACACAATGCTGAGAAACAGTCTGAGAGACGAGGGAAAATGCTGGTTGAGGCGGCGATGATGCGCAGCCAATCGGCTCACGGGATAAAGCCACTCGTGCTCTCATCGGTCGATGTCACGCCCCGGCGGGATCGCGCGCCTCGTTTGAGTGGGCCCGCACAAAGCCTCCGAGACACGTCAGCTCTTTTTTTCGGCGTGCGGGGAATCGCGTCTTTCCACAATATGGCTCCCCAGATTTTATATTTTTATTTTATGATTCATTTTTATTTAAAAAGAAACCCCGAAAATGCAAAACACGAAGCGCAAAGTGGCGAGGGATCACTTCACGTCAAATGCCGCAGTGAAAGCATTTCAGCCGTTAAGTCCCCAAATATTTGCACTGGGTTGCTCGCGGGCGCCCTCCCGGGCCGACTGTCGGACAATCGCGGCCCCGCCGATCACATGTGACGATATCGCCGCCGCGCTAAGCTGATTTGTTGCTAGCGCGTGCGCCGCAGCGTGTCGGGTGTCGGCCGCGTGTCAGCGACTCCAACATTAGCATACGAAGCGCGGGGGGTCACTTGATTGCGTATTCCTGAGCTGGTCGGCAGGAGAGTATTAATAATAAAACAAGACAATAAGGAGGCTGCTCGGCGCACATCCACCGTGGGCTCGCTCGCTCGCTCGCTCTCTCATTCTCTCTCGCTCTCGCCGGTTGTGTTTGGGCGCACGCCGGCGGAATATTTATTGCGCTGAGTGGCTGCGCTTCAATTAAAGGACGGTCTCCGTGCCGGGCTGGACGTCTCCCTCGCTGGCGGACGCCCTCACGGCCACTCCGAGACTATTCCGCATTTGATCTCTGTTCCTTCTCACCTTATTCCTCCCTCGCCCTTTAGGCCCCCCCTCCCACACTCACTGCAGTGTTGTCGCAGTGTGCAAAGGAGAGGCATGCGTATGCATACTAACGCCGCCTGCGCCGATTTCCCCCCCAGCTCACACTGCCTGGCGCTCTGGAGTCTTATGAATAAGGGAATAAGTGTTGAGGCGTTATTCAAGGAGATGGAGACAGATGGCCGCCGCTGTTTACACGTTCAAGTCAATCGGGAGAGTTGCCGGAAATCAAGTGAAAAGTGCGCACGACATCCGCAGCCAAATGATGACGGCCAGGATTCATGTCGCCCCAAATGTAGCGCACACTTAAAAAAAAAAAAAAGTTTGTTTGCATTTTACTGAAATTTCAGCTTGAGCTCGTTATGAAGCTTCCCCGTTCATGGCGCGTCTTCATTGCCGGTGTTCTGTCCACGTAGAGAGCAGCTAACTGGAAGAAGATCGCTGAGGTCAGGGTTCAAATTATTCATGACTTGATACATTAAACCCGCGCTGTGCTAAATACTGGGCTCGAGGAGCCTTAATCTTCCACGCTGATGAATGAGTGGGCTAGCGAGGGCATGACAGTCAGACCGGGAAAAAAAACGTACCGCTTTTTTTTTTTTTTTTGTGGAGCTACGAAAGGCCTTGTACCAAATGACATTGAGCGTACACATGTTCTTGTCTGTCCATGAATTGCAGGACCCATGTCCATCCATCCATTGTCAAATCAGCTTCTCCTCAGGAGGGTCGAGGGCCCGCTGGAGCCTCTCCCAGCTGTTATGAGCTCCTACTTCGAGCGCCTTCTGGCTGCCT